CTTTCAGTCTCAACCACCATTAATCTTAATGGTACAGGATATCCAATTATGCCATAATACATTGTAGTATTGTAGTTTTCTAATATAGCAAATGCTTAATACAACATTGTTTCTTAAAATACCAAGTGCATAATACAATAATGCATATCTCAATTCGCAAAACAGAAAGTTGGTGTATAACTGTATATCAAATTGGTAAAATAATGTTTATATCAAATTAAGTGGTGGCAGAACTACCCTAGTTACGAGTTTCATGCTACTATTGTTCAAATTTATTGTTCTCTACTGATTGATGCGATAATATGTATATCCGTGGAGAATGAAACTTTTCAAAGCTTCAATGTCTTCAGCAGTCTATGATTTATTTACTTGTATTTGGCAATGGCTTACTGATTTGGTGATATTGCCTATTCCTATGTATGAAAGCTTCCATGCTTTGGTTGGTTTCATTCGTACTTTATTTGGATATTATGCGGTATTTTCTTGTGTTTGGATTTATTTTCTCTAACAAGATCATTTAAATAGGATTCTACAATTGCAAGGAAAATAAAGCCCAGATTTTGTTTCCATATCCATTATATTATCCACGTAACATTCTGTTTGGAAGAGAAAGGCCCAAATTAACAGAGTAGTTGTTCACGAGTGAATTTGATATTATCAAAGTTACCATTGTATGATGTCATGCCTTTCCTCAAAGTTTAATATGGTGGAGTCATTTATCAATCATAATGAATTTTATCCTTCATTCATCAGTTAATGCCATTTATCCAAAAGAACATCGGACTAGAACATGGGAGTTATTTATAAATTCAAAAGAAGTCATCATTCCTTCGTTATGGTTCCATATAATTGACTGTCTACTGTGATGCATGCATACTTTATAATCGGTGATAAAACTTCATCAGGTACCTTTCAATCATTTGTGAACTCAATTAGTAGCAAGTTATTGTCGCCTCTTTTGGTGTTCCTTATGATGTAAATTCACAAATCAGCTGCCTTAAATGGATTCAATTATATTTCCTTCCTTGACCTGTGATGATTTTGCCTCACGTTGTTGTTTAACAATGAAGTATTTTCATGTAAATTTATAGATTGCCTAAATGCTCAAGGAAAAATATCTCATATTTTATAAATAGGAATTGGTGCCCTAAAAGTCTCTTTAAGGGAAATAATATTTTCAGAATGGAGAATAATGTGCCCAAAGTCTAGGTTGCACTGGAGTTGGTCTATGCGTGTCCTAATACTTAAAAAGAGTTGGCATCCCCAGAGTTCCTCTCTAGGTCCTCATTTGATTAATTCTTTTTAGTTAAGGTTTTCTCTTTAGCAGTTTTTTCTTGCTGTCTAGTGGATGTGTTTGTGGCATGATTACTTGTAGGGGAATGATTTCATGCAACGATTGTATAATAGCATAATGCAACCACACCTCTAGAAAACCATGTTTTTGGCAATTGTATAACTCCTAATTTTGGACACACATTCTCTTCATCCTCATAATTAATCCTAAGACAAAAAAAATTCAATTTGCACCCTAGATATAGTCAAAATTAGTATTCTCTAACAATGAATTTCAGCCGTCCATTTGGTGAATTTCAAGATCTAGGACTTAACAAATTCAAAATCATGTTTTCCATTTTTAACACTGTTAATCTAATGATGATAACACTATATAAAAATTTTGGGAATAAAAAAATCCTTATGAGGCCTATATCTAACCATCTCACTAAAATGGACGACTTATATTAATTGGTCTAGAAAAACACTTTCTAAGGCATTTTTTGAAAATTTTCTTTTTTGTGATTGTTCTTTAGAATGAAAAGAGTGTACATTTAAAAATTTGTGTCAAACAAATGTCTCTAACAGGGTTTTAAAGATGGTTGCATTATACTACTATACAACAATCGTTCGTCTTACTTGTAATATTTGTAATTAGGGTTTTTTAGATTTTAAGACTTTATGAGTTGGTTAGACTGCCTATAGAGTTATTTGTTTGCTTTGGGGTAAAAATGTCATTAGGAATTTTGTTTTAATTAGGAAATATATTTCAATTAGAATTGGGATTTCTTGGGTTCAAAGTAAGGTCTTTAATTATAAGGAGGGGTTAAAGAGGAGTACTATCAGGTTTTCTTCATCCATAGTTGAGTTTTGAGATCTTATTTTTGGTTTAACCAATGCTACACTATTGAAGCCTTGTAGGCCTCCTCTTTATGTTTTATTGATTAGTCGATTTTCTTCCCTGCGAAATTTCTTTCTACATTAGTTGGTCTAATAGCAAGCCCATAGAAGAGCAAGTTTGTGCGATGGCTGCTAGAGGAGGACGAGTTTGTCATTGTGTTGGTGAAAAGGTTACATGGGAGGAATTCCATGATCTCAAGAGGAAAATTGAGGAATTAACATATGAAATGCATCGAAAACGTTCTAATTGAAAGAGGTTTGAGGAGATAGTGCACGAGGTTGTACCCAACCTGCTTTTATCGATTTCAGTCAATCATAAGATGATGTCGGGTCTGAGGCTAATTGTAGTGACAAGTCAAGTTCAGCGGATTTCAATCAATGTCATGGCCAGGAGAGAGACAATCCAACTGTGTTTAAAGATTAATGTATGCTTTCATATTTTTAGTTTGAATCACCCTTCTCTTGTTCCACGAGTGTTTCTATATTTAATAAGGATCATGTGGATGATCTATTCATTTTTGAAAATCGAGAGCTTGTGGGAGGTCCAATCGATGACAAGGATGCTATTGATCTCATGTTTGATTGTGAACCAATATTTGATAAAGAACCAGTCTACAATGAAGTACAAGATCTTGTAGGTAGTTTGATATATGACGACAAACGAGTTCTTGTGAATGAAACAATTTTTGATGAAGAACTTATGGAAGAAGTTGAGGAAATTGAGACCCTTCCTCTTGGGTATAGTGAGGAGATTAAATTTTGAAAAGGTTGATGAAACCCTAAATGTTGAGGTGAAATAAGAAGCCCTGGGGTCTTTATTTGTGGTGGAAGCCATGGAAGGAAACTTAGGCTTTGATGCAAACTTGGAGGCTGCTAGTAAATTTGATTCTTATGAGGAAGTCCTGAGTGACGGGTATTCGAGATTGATTAGGACTCCTAAAGTTGCAAAGGATGAAGGTAAGGAAGAAGTTTTAGAAGAGATGCATAATCTGAAGAGGAGAATTCATATCAAATTAGAATCCAAGAGAATCAGAAAGAGAGATGATCATGGGATTCCAAGGAATCTAAAAATCTTTGGATTCTTGCTGGAAGATTGCCATAGAGGATGTTTACCAAGTTGTTTATGACATTTCCCTTGATATTGAGATTCAGGCAGTAGATGAGGTGATTTGTGCACTGCGCTTTTGTCAGAGCATAATTTTGGCATGTAACTCAAAATCATTGTTATTGGTACTCATTGGAAAATCCCTACCATGTCTAAACTACTTCATCGATTTCCCCTACCGATTTCATTAGAAAAAGCCTTTGATAAAGCCCAAAATTGTGTAGGAAGTTTTCTATGCAATTTTCAATGTGAGTTTAGGGATAGCTGAATTTGATAAATTTGTATCAATTCCTCACTATACATATCAGGATCCATTTCTTGAAGATTTCCTCCGAACATAATAGTTAACGAAGGAGAAGAAGTTTGAAGAAGAAGAAGGTGATTTTCTTACTGAATTCATCTTAGGTTGCTTAAAAACTCGAGAACGAGTTTTCTCCAATCAGAGGAGTTTGAAGTAGGACAAGATACCTCTTATTTTTTGAATTTTTATTATTAAATCCTATATATAAATGGGAGTTTTTATGGTCATTTTTAGGGAGTTTTGTAAGCATTTAGTGCTTTTTGGATTTTTAATATTTTAGGAGTTGTTTGGAAAAGTAGTTAGAATGCTTATGGAGTTATTTGTTTTATCAGTGCAAAAATGTCATTACAAATTTTATTTTAATTAGGATTTATATTTCAATTACAATTAGGATTTCTTAGGTTCTAAGTGAAGTCTTTTATTACAAATAACATTTCTATTAGAGCTTTAAATTTATAGTTCAGTTTTGAGATCGTATTTTTGGTTTAATCAATGGAGCGCTATCGAAACCTGGATTGTGTGCTTCTCTTGAATTTTCCAATCATTAGATTGAATGATTTTGTTTTGCTGCAATCATTCTACATTAAATATAGAATTATAGATATTGAGGAACTCTTGGATGGAGAAGATCTGGTACTGTATTGGAGTAATGTACAAACTCAATAGGGAGTACGATTAGTTTTCTATAAAGATGAGGATTGATCTAGGCCTATAATGTCGCAGCCAGGTGGAGAAGAGTCATTAGGGGTGTGTTTGATAAGTGGACGTTTCTGGAAGTGGGAGTTAAATGTCCCAGTTCCATTAGGGGCGTGTTTGATAAGTGGAAGTTTCTGGAAGTGGGCGTTAAATGTCCCACTTCCATGTTTGATGTTACTGTGTGGAAGCTGTAAAATGGAAGGGAGACCTTCCATGCAGGCTTTTTTTAGTGTTAAAATGAGTTCATTTTTGGAAGACCTCTCTTCCATAAAAAATGATGGAAGAGCAGTCTTCCATAATTTGTAGGAGAGTCCCTTCCACGCTCAGAAACTCCATGTGTCAAACACACGCTAGGTGTTAGCAGTGCTTTGGAAGAAATGTTTAAGGTCTAGTTTTATCAATAAAAAAGAGTTTTAAGCTTTAAATTTATTTGCTATTAGCGCCTTTTCCTTTTTTTTAATGAGAGAGAAATTCTATGAGAGACAAAAATGTATTTATATCCGTATTCTATATGCCTAGTTTTCTTATCAGCGGCGTAAGTTTTCCATATGCATTGCACTATCTATATCATTCAAGGTCACATATATTGTTCTCTTGTGATTTTTCTGATCACCACTTGAATTCATTGTATAGGTATAAGATGTTATAGTTTTCCTTTCTTGTATCCACATAATTGAGTGAATTTTATAAATGCCTTTCCTTATGCATATCTATCTTCTTATTTAGTGTCCTCAAAAAGTTTTGTGGATAGACCAATTGCTGGTTCACAAGTTCAATTCTGCCCATTAGAGAAAGGAATGCTTGATAGCTGGTCCCCCCTTGAACCTAGTATGTTCAAGGTTCGAGGGCATAACTATCTCAGGTATGAGATCTCTATTTAATGTCGCTTTGTTCTATAAATGCGTCACTAATGCTGGTTGCCTATGATTATTGATGTGTTATGGCTCTGTTTATCTTTTTTGAGATAATAATCCCTAATTTTGTGGCAGGGATAAAAAGAAAGAACCCGCTTCAAATTATGCAGCATTTTATCCATTTGGCGTTGATGTCTTCTTATGTCAGAAAAAAATTAATCACATAGCCCGATTTGTGGACCTTCCATTCATGACTTCCAATGACAAGATTCCACCTCTTCTTGTTGTAAATGTTCAGGTGGTATCTTGCTCTTTCTCCTTTGAAATTGAAGGTTTCACCATTCTTTGAAATAATTATGGTTATTTTGATTAAAGATTATATGTATGTAAAGAGTGTGGATCACATCTGACTATTGGTCGCTCAAAATAAGTGTAATTTTTAATATCCACCAAAACTAAGATAAATGACATGGCCGCAAACAAGGGCTATTGACTTTGTCTTATTTCTTTGTACACATAAATTTTACATTTGGACAAAATGTTGACCCATATTTTGCACACATACATGTACATTGTACACTTTCTGCCTCATGCAAAATACCCGCATAAAGGTATTTGTTTGATTTTGCAATTTTGGAAATCATCTTAGTATCCCCAACTGGATATATAATCATCATCATCTGAGCCTTATCCCAACTATTTGGGGTTGGCTACACGAATCCTGTTATGCCATATTTCTCTATTAAGGGCTATACTCAATCAGACTATAGGTCACCATATCTTTTCTCACTACTTTCATCAATGTTCTTTTGGGCCTTCCGCTTCCCCTTTTAGAACCTTGCACTTGAACTAACTCGTTCCTCCTAACTGATGGTGTTCTAGATCGATGCTATACATGGCCAAACCATCTAAGTCTCTTTTTCCTCATTTTATCGCCTATTGAAGCCACCCCTAAGTTTCCCGGATGTATTCTTTCCGAATTCTAACCTTTATTGTCTTTCCACTCATCCATGTCAACATCCTCATCTCAGCTGCACTCATTCTATGAATATATTGATTCTTGATTGCCCAACATTCTGTCCCGTAAAGCATGACTGGTCATACAACTTTCTTACATAGCTGCTCCATTGATATCCGATGATTAACTCTAGAAGCTCATCTCCATTTCGTCCACCACCCAGATCTAATTCTATATACGTCATTTGCCTCAATTCTCCATTCTCATGGATTATTGACCCAAGATATAAAAAATAATCTCTTTGTAGGTACCCAAGATATAAAAAATAATATCTTTTTAGGTAATTCTTGGCCATCACTCTTGACTAATTCCTCGTTTCTTTAAAACCTTTTGATTCTAGAGTATCCCTCCAAAGTGGCATTGTCTCTAATCTCATCGATCAAAGCTATATCATCGAAACAACATACATTAGGGTACCTCATCCTGTAGATGCCTAGTTAACTCGTCCATAGCCAAAACAAAGAGCTATGGGCTCCACACTAATCCCTGATGAAGGCCTATTGTCACTGAAACTCACTTGTCACTCCAATAGTTGTCCTCACACTAGTTAGCACTCCATCGTACATGTCTCTTACTATGTCATTATATCCTCTAGAGCCTCTTTTTTTTTTTCAAATACGTACCAAATTAATTCTCTAGATACCCTATCATATGCTTTCTCTAAATCAATGAGACCATGTGGATGTCTTTTCTATTCTCCTTGAACTTCTCAATCAATTGCCTAAGTAGAAAAGAAAAGAAAAGATGGGTTCCTATTATCTAGACCTGACTATCTAAAAATGGGATGGTATGTACTCTTGGTACATGATTTCTTTAGGTAATTTTGGTGAACTATTCTTTTTCTTTTCTAGATTAGTCACTATGATGAGTCGATAACATCCCCAAAATTTAAGGCCTATAAACTTCCGAAAGTAGGTTTTTGCCTGAAAGAGTAAGTGTACATTTTACATCCTTGGAATGTAATGTTTCCCGGTATATGTATATATACACAATGTAGGAAATATTAGGAACAAGCAACTTGAGCTTGGTATTTGGTAGTTCATGTGGGGAGATTCTAATGGGGACATTGCCCTGCCCTTAGCTCCTGTCACTCATTATCTTCTTGTGGCACATGGCTTCTGGATGGGACCCTCAATTGTTTCCACACGTCAAACCGTACATCTTCTAGGCATTTGTCTCCCCATTTTTCTTCTCTCGGACAAATTCTTGGCTCCCCATTACCTTTGCTTATTAAGGATGTCAATGATTAACAATTGCTAGCAATTTTTATTTTTTATTCCCATCTCTTAATTTTCTTGGTGAAGAATCAATTGTTTAAGAACCATCTTGTAAATTTTATTGTCTTTGCATTCTGAATGCAAGGATCCACCTCCTTTACTTTTTGATGACATTGAAAGAGGTAATAAGCGAATATGTAGTTTTCACGTACTTTAGGGCTCCGTAAAGGGGTCCAGTGGAGTGGTCAGGACTGTAGGAAATGATTGAGAAAAGGATCTCTCTTTTAGAAAGTTTCGTTCTCCAGAGATGGTCTCTGGCGTCATGTTTCATGTGGCCTAGAGGGAAAGGAATGTTGAGTGTCCAGGTAGCCATTAGAGGATTTCTACAGTGTGTCTTGAATTGTAGGAGAACGGTGAGAAGGTGAACCACGATGATACAATGGTGACACTTCCATCTCAAAGCCAATGCCGAATGGTTGGTCGATGGAGTAGTAGCAAGGGCTGGAGAATCTGCCTAGGTGTCAGGTTTTTCCCTGGTCACCGGCATGGATGGCTTGCTGAATTTGGTCATTCCTAAACCTCTAGATAAATGTTAAATTTTGTTTACTCGTGCAGTTTCAGTCTTTCATTGCACACATTCGATTTTTTTTCCTCTTAATGTAGTGCCAAAGGCAACTGTCTGGTCTAGTGGGGGTTTATTGATTGTTATACAAAAAAAACTTGGAAAAAGTTATATTTATGGATGAATCGACTATTAAATGGGATTGAGATTTGTCTAAAGGAATGGCGTGGGTGGTGAATTGTTTGATGGATGGTGGGTCTGTTTGTGAAAGAGACAATGGGGGTGTAAGAGATTGGAACAAGGAGAAGCTAGGATAGTGGTGATAAGGTGACATAGAATATGGTTTTAAAGATGAAATGGCTTAATAGTCAAACAATGGCTAGATGATGGCTCGAAAGTTGTGTTAAATCCTAATGCAACAACTTTGTAATGCACATTTGAAACAACCGATGCAGGATTTGTTTACATGTGGAATAGCAACAAAAGGAAAGTATTGCTGCACTTTGGGAATCTTGTGCCATAGTCTGGGAAAGGGATGTAAATAACAACTGAGGACTCTTGCTGGGACTATCAATGAATTGAGTGGGGTCTCTGGGTATCTTCTCTTTGATCAAAGTGGCATTTTGCTAAATGAGTGCGGAGTTCATGAGGAGTGACCTTAGGAGTTAACTTAAGGCGTCAAATCAATGTGGTAACATAGCACATTATGCTGCGGCATCAATGCGGCATAGGCTTCTTGGCCACATCATTTTGGCCACTTAGGCCAGCATACATAATTCGCTTAGGCAGGCGAATTATGTAAGCCGACCTAGGCGGCACATAGGCAGCCATATTGAGGTGAGCCCATATGGCCACATAAATTGGACCTACTTGTGGATGTAAACATAGCGTACAAGCAGGGGTAAATTGTCTCCCTCCGGAGAAAGGAGGGGGGGTAGGTGGGGTGTTTAAGGGGTATATAAATCCCCCAAAACCCCTTACAACCTTTTTTTTCTTTGTTGGTTCTAAGGAGACTCCCAAATTGAATTTTATTTTCAATACCAATTTTTTGAGGAAAAACTCATATCTTATTGGCAATTTCTCCAATTGATTTCATGCTCACATGGGAAGGATATTTAGTCACGCAATAAGGCTAAGGGAGGTGCTACTTCAAATGCATTATGCAGCTGCATTTAATGACTACAAAGTATTAGAGACAAATAACCAATTAAAATGAACAATATCACATAAATCACATATTCATGCCATTCTTTGTATTCGTATAAAATTATACCTTTTTTGGATTTTTTTTAGGGTGCGGTTAGTATAGAGCCTAGGCTCTAAACAATCAAATTAGAGCCTACCTTCAAATAGTGTTGAGAAGTTTGGTTTCAAAACTGAAAATATTTGTGAAGCCTTAAAATATATTTTCATCTTTGTTTACAAAGTTAAAGCTTCAAAAATAGTGTAGATCAGTAGATCTATGAATTCTTGAAAATCTTGAAAATTGACAGTCCAAAAATGCATTACAAAATACAGTATTTCCAAAATTTGAAATCCATTTTTTTCTCATGTCCATGCATTGATGTCGAGATGATCAATTTGAGGATATTTTGGCATCAAAACAACCTCTTCTAGTGAAATTTTTGAGGTAGGGTCAAATTTGATTGTTTTTTTTGTTTTGAAATGTTGACGTTTGAATTGCTGTAAGAGAGAAGGTGCCCTACTAGACGGGACTCTCAGTGAAAAAGAATAGGTCAACAGACCCTATACAAAATGGGGTTATAAGTTTGCCCCCTTTTCAAAGTATACAGTTAGTTTTCAAAAAAGCTCAAAAAAATTGCCCGTTCGATGAGAAGTGTTCTCCTAGCAAAATTCTTTGTGGCCGGCTCAATGCAAAAACGTTATGGCTCCGTCCTTCGCCAGCAGATCCATGAGCTCGTTTGACGTCTTCGAGGTATGCATCCAAGAGACGGGCATATACTTGCAAAGGCTCAAATTTGATTGTTTAGAGCCTCGGCTCTATATAAACTTTTCCCTTTTTTTTTTTATACTTGTTACCTCACGAAAAGTGATGTGTTCTCATCAAAACGCATTGCTCATTAGGTCCCCCTAACGCCTTGCACCATATGCGCATTTGATAGCCTTGTGTTAAAGTATGTATAGTACTTTCATCTGGTTGTGAGGGAGGTAATATTGGTTGTGAAGTGGACTGAATCGTGATTTAATAGGAATTAAGAGAATGAAACTCGAATATCTTGCGTGATTGCTATTTCAGTGGGGCTAGAATATGGAACTGGTAAATGATCTTGTGCTTAGTTTTTGAAAATGTCCAAGGAGCATCTAAAGGAGGGAAAACATCAGTGCCAGCAGGCAAGGATACAATTCCCACTAAAACTTTCAGGACATTTTGCATGAGTATCTATTTTAGAATTGAGGATCAATGTAATTAAGATAAGACTGGATTGGCTGGTTCGGACGGGGAATCGGTGCCCCAACATGTTTTTTTGGGAGGTTGTAAACTTGGGTGGGGGACCATTAAATTGTACAGAAGTTGGTCAAAATTCGAAACCAGGCTAAACTAGTTGGTTTACATTTGTCCAACTGGTTGAACTGGTGTGAACCAGCTGGTTAATTTTGAACATTTTTTTATATCTTTTATATTTTTTGTTTATATTTCCTGATCAGTTTGATTGGTGAATTGACCGGTTTGACTGGTTTGGACCCGTGCCCTCACTTGTTCGATGACTAGTGAGGTCCGGATAGCACTAGTGAGAACGTTGTCTAATCATTGGGTTCCTGATACCATGGGTCTTTTGATTCATGTTTTCTAAAGAGAGAATGGGGGTCTTAAATTGAGGGGATAGGTTTCACGTGGTAGGCTTATGAATGGATGGTTGCATCGCTAGCACCTGAGGGAGCTCTCATTGGACACATAGAGTTGGCCATGATTGGGTATGCTTTGAAGAGTGTTGTAGAATGTGGGAAAATGTTGGAAAATCTTGTTATGACTGGCACTGGAAGAAGATCGAGATGACAACAAATTGAAGGATTGGAATGTTATTCGAGTGAAATAGAAGGGGACTCTAAATCTTGTCATGAAGAGGAGTCCCTTCATCAATAAGCTAGTAGTTGTTACTAGTTAGCTTGATTGTGAGATTTAAAAATGAAGTGGTTCGATCTTGCTTGCTGAAGGAAACCATTTTGTGTTGGAAGATGGGTGTGTGATCAAGTTATCTGCGATCTTGTGAGAAGAAGACATGCTAGACTTTGCTACGCATTTAATTGTCATTTTGTCCTTAATAGTGACAATGAAGGGTTAATTTCTTGATCAACAGAAGCATATCTAACGTGGCACACAATGGTGCCAGGTCGACAAACCTATATTGGGAATTATTAAAGTATATGTTAATTGAAGGGTTTACATGTGGTTCCACAGCTGTCATTGTGTGGGATGCACTTCTTGTGGGATGCACTTCTAATATATATAGGTATGTTAATTGAAATATATATATATATATATGTATACATATATGTATATGTATGCATGTGTGTATATACTGAAAGACTCACATGTTGGTTACTTATATCTCAATAAACAGACCAGAATAAAATTGAAATAATTAGTTGTGTAAAGGACTGCTCCTGAGCCTAAAACCCAAGATCCTAACTGAGAAATCTTATAACAATGTTGAAATAGGGAAGAAAGTAACTGCCTGTGTGGAGGCCTATGAGGATTATCCTTGAACCCTGAGGCAATGTGGTTGCATAGGTGATCGAACTTTTCCCCTGTGATTTGAGAATTTACATGCTTAAATCCTATTGGGTGACTATTGCAAAGTTCAAACTTCAAAGCAAGGACTCATTGCTGCGGTGGTAATATTCAAATGGGGTTTCTTTTGTTAAGTGTTGATTTCCTGTGTAGCACTTAACTGATCAACTTTTGGATTTCTCTTCCATAGTATATATATGCTTGATTGTTTCAGAATGGCATTCAGTTTCTCTGCGAGAGAGAGAGAGAGAGAGAGAGAGAGAGAGAGAGAGAGAGAGAGAGAGAGAGAGAGAGAGAGAGAGAGAGAGAGTAGTAGAGTAGTAGAGTAGTAGTAGTAGTAGTAGTAGTAAGTAAGTAAGTAAGTAAGTAAGTAACGTAAGTAAGTAACGTAAGTAACGTAACGTA